GTGTGTGTGTGTGCGAGCAAACGGGTATATGCATAACTGTAAGCGTGTGTGCACACTTTTGCCCATAACTGTTGTTTGGCTAAAGGGCATTTTTTGTCTGTTTCAGTTTCTGTTTCGGTTGTTGTTTTTGTTTTTGTCCAGGGAAAAACTGGTTTTTCCATCAGCTCTTGGTCTCTCTACGTTGACGTTCTAATTTCGGCGCTACGCTAATAGCCAGAGGAGGAGAGCAGCAGGCAAGGAGCAGAGAGGAGCGGGGACGTGGGGCAGAGAAGTGACGGAGCTCTGAAGTTGTCGCAGCTATAAAAAATGTTACGAGAGTCACAAGCAACGCCTACGTATGCCCCAGACAGCAGCTAGAGACAAGACAGGCAACAACAACAACATCTGCTGCAACAACAACAACAACTCGATATGTTGCATTTGAAATATGAAAGTTTTTGTTGGCCTCTCAAAGCTAAGATTGATAGCGACAGCGGTGGGGAGAGCGAGAGCGAGAGAGAGAAAGAGAGAGGGTGGCAACCAGATTGCTTTCAAAGTATAATATTCCCATCAATTGGTAAAGTCTCATAATTGAGTTCTTCACTTATTGAAAATTTATTGCAAAGCCTTTCAGTTCTCGAAGCAATTCGAAGGGTACTTTCAGCTCTCTCTCAAAGATAGGAGTAGCTGTTCATGGCTCTGGCAGCTTTGCATGTGCATGCGATTGTGGTCAAAGATGTTTCTATTGACAGTCACTTAGCACCTAGACTTGGGAATCGGTGAGCAGTATGAAATATCGTTGAGTAATTACTTGTGCTTGTAGTCTGGAATGCAATCTATCGAAGCTCAATCGATTAACCGATAACATTAATCAGTCGAACACTTGATCAGGCACCAAAGCAAATCAATCAGTCAATCAATCAGTTCGTAAAACAGTCAGTTAGTCAATAAATCATAACAATCCGTCAATTAAAGTAAACTGATTATGTTTTGAGTCAATCAATCATTAATTGATTAATATATCAGTCATGTCAATCTTTCTTCAGTTCGTCAATCAATAACTTATTAGTATGTTAAGCAGTCAATCACTTGGCTATTACAATGTCTTGAATGACGGCTGATTGATAGATTCAATACCTGAGATATCCTTCCAGTCAATCAGTCAAACATTCACCCAGTCCATCAATCACTAATCAGCCAGTCAGTGCTTAAATTGAATAAGCAGTCAGTCAATCAATCAATGATTATGCTCAGTCAAGCTCTTCTTCATAATATTTAACATTCTGTAAATCATTTAACAGCCAGTTCAATTATTCAATCAGTCCTCATTCAATTAGGTAAGCCATCAATCAATCGAACAGTTAGTCAGCTAATTAATGACTAAATAATTCTTGACTAACTAATTGGATAAGTATATGTCTATTACCACAGTCAGTGCCTTAGATATTCAATTTAGTCAATCACTATGTCAATCAATCAATCAAGTAACTATGCTCAACTCAGTTAGTCAAGTTAGTTAGTTAGCTGAAGCATTTAAGTTAACTTAAGTAATTAAGTATTTCAGTTAAGTTAGTCAATCAATTTATGTATGTACATATACATATACATCTGCATATATATTATACACAAGTTAAATTCATTTAGTTTTCTATTTGCTTAATTTGACGTTCCAAATCTTTGCCGATTGACGAAGTCGAAATTTTCTCTTGTTGGCTTTAAATATTAGCTCAAGTGCTAATTTTGATTAAACAACATGCATAGCTCAGCTCTACACAAATATATTGCTTGTGTGTGTGTGTATGTGTGTGTGTGTGTATGGGTGTGTGGGTGCATGCACAAGCCAAAAATTTCACACATTTCTAGCATTTCCCATAGACAATTCTCAATTGAAAGCTAACAAAAGGGTAAACGAATGTGCGAATGGGCATCCGATATCACTCTCCCTCTCTCTATCCCCTCTCTCTCTCTCTCTCTCTCGCTCTCTGCTGCTGCTGCTCTGTGGCCACAAACAAAAGCTCAGCTAGAGAATTGTTTTTGTTGCTGGCAATTTGCTTTGATTTAATTCAATTTAACAGCTTCGCCCGATGCCAGCTCGCAATTTGCCATTTTTAGCGCTTGTGGCCGCTGGCTAAAAAAAGGGTTGCCACCCCGCAACGTCAGAGAGTTGCCATTAGGCTGTGGGTGTTGTCGCTGCCGTTGCTGTAGCTGTTGCTGTTGCTGTTGCTGTTGCTGTTGCTGTAGCTGTTGCTGTTGCTGTTGCTTTTGAGCCAGCTTGTCAGGCTAGTTACGTCCGAATTTCCGCTTCATTTTGCAGTTGCAGCCAATTGGTGGGGCATTGGGGGCGGCGCTGGGTTTGGGCACTGGGGCTGGGCTCGCTCGAGTGTCATTCAACTGGCAGAGGACACGCAAAGAGTCAACAGAACAAGGCGACACCGGGGCCAGTTTCTTACTTGTATTTTTCTTTTAATAATTATTTGCATGTTGCACGTTGCACGTTGCACGTTGCACGTTGCACGTTGCAAAGGAGGCAACAATTTGCATGCAGCATAAATTATTAAACGCATAAACACCGACTACTCGCTCTGCCCTAACCAGCAGCACGAGCAGCAGCAGCAGAGTGAGCCAGCGCTGTGCCCGTCTAATTAGACTTGATTGACATGTTGGGCCACCTGATATGCCTCGCTGTCTTGAGTGCGGATCGATCCGGCTGACTCATGGCCGGCCAGACAGCGTTGGTGTCCAATAACTCGACTCGACCAATTCGAGCAACTGCCCGCCCTCGCTTACCCCAGCCCCACGCTTCAGCGCCCCTCTGCGCTGTGCTCATTTTGTGGCATATAAAGAAAGAGGGCGGGGCCCAGGAGTAGTAATCTTAGAGTATTACCCTGTGTGGCTAACGGAGTTCAGAGTTCTTAACGAAAAGTTACGCTACAAAAATGACTTTTAGGTAATTACAGGGTATATATAAAGCTATCAGATTGCATATATAATAGGTGAACATATATATGACTTCTTTATTGACCAATTGTTTGTTGTTTAGAAGCCTGTCTGACATTAATAAATTTACAGGGTATATGTGCGTCTAGTCAAGGTACTTTACTGTAGCTATATACATATATATATATATAACAATATCTCAAAGCACAAATCTCCAGTTACAGGGTATTCTGCCGTAACAAAAGTATACATTGAATCGGTATATGCAGGGTATATCAGCTGTGCAGCTAATATACACTATTCTCTTATTCAAAATACCTTCCATGAGCCATTTACAACGTATAGCCCTAGTCAAGCTCATCGAGCGCCCCATTAGGTATGTATTTAGTTTTGATTAGGGACATTCCCATTCTGCGTGCGCTAACGAAATTACTTGCTAATTGAATCAAAATGCTTTTTAGCGCAATTACAGGGTATGCCATTGGTTGGACTTGCTGCATATTTAAAGAGCTGCTGCTACTGCTTCTGCGACTGCTGCAGCCACATAATATTTTTTAATGAGTGCCAATGAAATTTCCGTTAAGCCAACCGTAGTTTAGTTGCCTTTGCTACCTTCGCTCGAGCCCGAGCCCGACCCCGAACCGGAGCCCGAGTCACAGCCGGGGCTCAGCTTAAAAGTTGCCCTGGCAACTCTGGTCCAAAACTTTTGAGGGCTCCTTGTTGTTGTCGCTGGTGTTGTTGTTGGTTTCGTTGTTGTTGGTGTCGTTGTCGTTGTCGTCGACGTTCTCGTGGCGTAGTGTTGCCAATTCAATTAAATTTTGCACCCAAAAATGGTCTTCAGCGACAAAAAATTAACTTTCCAGACGAATTTTTACACAATTTTCGTTTCGTTTTTCGGTTTCGTCCCTATTTTTAATTTTATTCTGTTTATTTTCTCTTGTGCGCTTCTCTCTCTTCATTCAGTTCTTGTTGTTTTTTTCTTTTCTTTTTCGTTCTTCTTTTCGGCTGGGCAGTCAACTAACAGTGGCAACAACAAGAACAACAACAACATCCAGCTCAAACAGCAGAAAACGAGCTGCAAGTTATTTAATTAAAAGTTCACTCAATATCCAGAAACAAATTCGTGTCCTTCTCCGCAGCTCTATGTCGTTCGGCAGCCAGCCGGCCGTCGTGATGTCCTGTTGTCCTGCCGTCGGTCCGTTTATCTCGTTTATGCTTCGCATCGTTCGACTTGGTTTTTGGGGTCTTAATGGACGCTTGGCTTGGCTTGGCTTGGTCCAGCAGTCAATATTGTTTCGAAGGAGAGCTACGTGACTTCACGTTTGCCGCATATCCACAGCGCTCAACGAAATATGACCACAATGTCGCCTTTCGGCTGATGATTATTAATCGTTTTGTCAGTTATCGATTACATTTTAGAGTGAGCGAAACTCAATTTTCTTTCACGGACACGTGACCTGTGTGGCTAGGACACATATGTATGTCTTTGGCGTTCGTTAGTTGTGTTTCCTTATGATAAATGAGCTCACAGTTATTCATATAATAGTTATCGATAATTCTTTCCAACGTCACTTACAGTATAGTAGCTTCATAAGTTATCGTTGGCCTAATAAACTTGAGAGAATTATACAAAAATTCTTTCTGCATTATAAATATTCGATTTACAGTTATCGATAGCACTCATAATTATCGATATAAATTATGTATGAATATTATCATATATATTATAAAAGTACAAATTGTAGATAAGCTATATTAGTCTTAACTCAAACCACAAATATTTATCGATAACATCACTTATCTAAAGGAAAAATTGAGCTCTTAACACTAGTTTTAGTAAAAATGATTTATCGATATTTGTATGGATGTGAACCTTATCTAAATGTTATGTAAGACTTCCCCTATTGGCCATTTCGATTACTGCTCTACGATAGTTATCGATTATTACCTCTCATACCTAACCATATATATAACTTGACCTTTTTCTCAGAGTTAACTATGATTATGATAGTTATCGATAGTTCGCTCTATTTAAAAATGCATCACTAAATTTATCCTTTCTCTCTCTCTCTCTTTCTTTATAGAGTCTGGGTATTCTGGCTTCCATACCTGCGGGCATGCTGATTCTCTCGTTGCTCGGCTTGCTGCTGTATCTACTGACGCGTTGCTGCGATCGCAAGCAGCGCAAGCCGAGCGCTCAGCGCTGCCAGAGCTGTTCGCTGGTCATCATAACGCTGATGACCTGTGCGGCCATTGGACTAGGTAAGTGCCGGTTCGGGTGCATTGAACCCATTGTCGTTATATGTACATATATCCATGCCAAAATCCCGCCTGACTGCCTGCCTGCCCGCATGCCCGCCCTCACAGGGCGGCCACGCCCCGAGGACCAAATGCACGTACCCGTCGCGTGTTTAACTTGGCAATTAGCCAAAACAAGAGCCAAGAGTCGAGAGTCGACGGTGATGACGACGTCGTCGCCCGTTGCATTGCTCCATTACGTGCGCGGCTGTGGCTTTGGCACGTATCTGGATTTATGGGCGAGCGATCGCCGCCCGAGTCGCGTCAAGTGTCGTGCCTGAATATAAAAAGTCGCAATCCAAACCGAAAACCAAAAGTCGGCGAACTTAATTTGCCCATTTCGAAGTAAACTGTGTCAAAGTGCCAAAGGTAATGCCCCGAGTCAATTCCAGTCAGTGGAGGCCCCAGCGGCCCCACATTATAATCCAGCCTACGCGTGCAATGATAATAAAAAGAAAAAAACGAACGAACCAAAGAAACAACAACAAAATAATCATAATAATAATTTAATTAGCGCTCTTAATTGACTCAAAAATGCGTCCAGTGCGAGCTTTGCTCTTGTGGCTCAACGAATGCGGTCGAGCAGAGGCTAAAGCGGCGAATGGACAAAGAGTTTGCATAATCAGAGCTTAAATGTAGAGAGAGAAAGAAAGAGGGAGGGAGAGAGAGAGCGAGAGAGATAAGTATTGTCAATAGTTAGATGGAGAGGATAAAGAGGGAGAGTGAGATAGGAACAGGATGAAAGCAAAGAAGAGCTGAGAGACGAAGACCTAGAGAGCTGAAGATAGAGAAAGATATAATGATAGAATGAGTTAGACTTAGGTACTTATGTAGAAAAGAGAAAGAGAGAGAAGTATATACACAGAAATGTTGTGAGAAGTGCAGAGATAAGTACAAAGGCGGAGAGAGGAGAAGACACAGAATGAGAGTGAGATAAACTCAGACTTATATGTATATATATATATCTAAATAGAAAGAGAGCAAGAGAGAGATTGGAGGCAATGCTATCTTCTTTTTCACTCACATCCCTTGCCCAGCAGGTAGCCTCATCTCAGGTCAAGTTCTTTCCTAAGTAAACAGCTACATAAGCTCCTGAACTTTGAAGAGAACATCTCGAAAATCGCACTTAAGGAAATCTAGAATAGACTCCAGTAGTGGGTTTGCTGTAGCTCAACTGCATCAAGTTTACACCTAAAACTTTGTACTCATTAATTGAAAAGGGGCTTCAGCAATTTTCAATTTTGTTTGCTAAGTAGAAATTCGATCCCGCTTCTATTTATCGTACATAAATGTATTTCGAGTCTCGCTCAACATATTTGCTTAACTGTTCCATTGCAGGCTTATATGGCAACGATGATTTCCACAATGGTCTGCTGCAAGCCTTCAGCTCCGGCAGGAAGGTGGAGAGTCTTGTGCTCAATCTTAAACAAGAGGTAAGTAATGCCCAAAAAAGTTTCACTACAAACTAAAAGTTTTACGAACAGCACAATGGGAAATCGCACACATATACATATATATATTTATATATATATATATAGAAATATATGCATATATATGCATATAACTAACAACTTTGCAAATTGTTGAAAACTATTTTTTTTTTCGCTTTGTTGCATATTTTAGAGAGAAGTCAACATTCATTTAAGTTTCAGCTTACTTTAAGCTTAACGTACTACATTTTGCATATTAAATTTTCGTTAAGTTTTATAATTCAAAGAACTATCAATATTTAAGCAGTTCTCTTAAAACATGTATGCAACAATATATTGCTAACAGCTTTCATTTAGTAACCAAGTTAGCCTGTTACCAAAATTATGTCTTTAGTCCGCTTAGCTTATCGATTATGCCGTGAATTCAAAGTGCGTCATATTCTGAATAGAAAGCATAGATATAAATATATAACATTCATATATACATATGTAGTATGCTCATATGCGTCTTTAGAGCTAATTTAATAGGCCGCCTACACAATTATCAATGACTGAGCTCTCTCAACTTGAGCGTATTCTCATTGAGTGCTCTTCTCTTACCCCAGTGGACAGAGCCAGTGTCTGTCATAGGGATAGGCTAGTGACATATGCGAACTGAGGTCCGGCTAACTCAATCCTTGACGTTTGGTATTCCTATCCACAATCGTAGCGTTGTCGCCATGGACATTTGGGCCCCAAGCAAAGAGAACTTTATGGGGATCGATTACATTGCGTGGAAATTCGAGTGCTTGACATTCCGGCCAGCTGGATCTTTTTTCATTTCTTTTCCATTGAATTTGGCATTACGTCAGGCCCGGAAACGTGGCTCTTAGTGGGGCCCCATGAAATGCCAGCCAAATGTCATAATTCGCACAATTCAAATTCGAGCATTTGCATATTCCGATTACCTTCCATTTGCACGACATTCGATATCTTTCGACATTCTTTGCTGTCGTCGTCTTTCGTCTGGCTCCACACTCCGGCACCTCGCAGCTCGTGTGAATGCGAATGTATTCAATGTTCATTTCACAATTAGCCTAACAAACATTCGATTCACGTGTGCAAACTGAAGAAATCCATGGGTGTTTTCTAATTTGTTAACGAGTAGTCTCTTGGTTAGAGTTACCAAAAAAGATGTTGAATTATTGTGGCATACTTAATCGCTGGTAGTTCGCAATGATCAAACATTAGAAAGAATTAGATTCCCAAACTTAAGACAACCCAAAGAATACTGCTCGAAGAGCTTGGATTAGTTAAGAAAAACTTGATTCAAACAGGGAATATAGTTGGATACGTCAGGAATGAGAATAGCGATGTTCAATTAAAATTTGATGTCTGATAGGATGGGAGTTACAACACATTGCTGCACTCCCATGTGAGCCACGGCGATCTATGCTGAACTCAGATGAGTGAGCTACATTGAGCTACGCTGAACCGATTAAATAATCGTTGCTCGAAAGATCGAGGCCATCTATTTAAAATTATTATATAATAACCGATGGCCATGGTTTCCCATTGTGTGCAATTGGAGCATAGAGCATGTTAGAAATTGGATCCCAGGGCATATAGCAATACAGTTATTGCTTTGACGCTGAGAAGGGTTGTAAAGTCCATGTTTATGCTTAAACAGAACTATATAATATAATAAAACTGCATAATATAATGTAATAAGACTTGTCTATCTCATTATAAAAGTAATCCGTGGCACAATTCAGTATACCGAAACCCAACAAACTCTGTATTCCAACTATATATCGATAGTTTTCCTGCTTTATAGAACTTTTTTTTTTTTACCAATTTTTAGAACTTTTACCATTAGTAGAACTTATTCATTATCATAATTGAGAGATTACTTCAATGCTTCAGACTTTTATCTTCAGTTTCCAATCTAATTCCAAATAGTCTTTAGCGTGTCTTCTGCCCCAGCTCCAAAAAGTAGGCAACATTTTGTGTATTTTGCCTTCGCTTTAAGCGTTGCCAGACATCGCACAATCTGCAATATTAAATCAAATTCCTATTTCAATTGCATTTCCCATGAAATGATGTTGCCAGCGAATGTGTTTATCGATAAATGCATTTTCTTAGCTTTGATTATGGCAAAGGATATGACAAATACTTGCTTATTGCTGCAGAAATTGTCACTGATTCACTATGAAGGCGCTGCCCTGCCCCGCCCCGCCCCGCCCCTGGCATGCATATCTCGCATCTGTCGCATCTTTAGCCAGGATAAGGGACGGCTATGGAGGACACGTTGTGCCACAGCGCTGGCTTTCGCTCTATTCAAAAACGTTGTCAGCGCACAGACGCTGATATATATATATATATAAATACATACATACATACATACATCTCTATGTATAGCAATATATATACATACGTACACATAAAAGAAGCCGATAAGGCGAAAGGTTAAGAGAGCGAGTCGAGCTAAAAGTGAATGCAGAGGCGCACGGCTGAGAGGGGGCGATGCGGGTGCGGGTGCGGGTACGGCTGAGGGAGAGGGAGAGGGAGAGGGCGAGGGCGAGGGCGTAGCCGGATGTTAGGTGCGGACAAGATGATGCTGTGGCCCAAACAGATGGCTGGCATTGCTTGGCCCTTGAGTAAAACGCTATTAATTATCTAGGCCCAGGACTAAACACACTCTCACACACACATGCGCCCGCACAAACTCATGTGAGTAGCTCTGCCAGACAGGTGGGGGGTGGCGGTGCTTTGGCTTCGGCTTCGGCTTCTGGGTAGTCCTGTGCGTGCGTCTGTCATGGCGCTGCTTTTAGGCAAGTCCTCGACCCTACGCCCTGTCACGCTTTGCCATGTCTGTCGCGCAGCCCTGCTGTGCCTGCTCCACCTTTCCCTTTCCCTGGCCCACCTTGGGCCTTTCTTTTGCTTTAGCTGTGTGTACTTAAATCCTTGCACAAGTGCGGAAGCAAAAGCATTACGAGAAAAAAAAAAAAAAAAAACTACTATATTTATGTGCAACGTTTTTGTCCTTTGTTCCTGTTTGCCAGCTGCATGTCTGCCTCTACGTCTGTCAGTCGCACCATCCCTCCAGCCGTCCGTCCGTCCATCTGAATGTCTGTCTGTCTGCCTATGTGCGAGTCCCTTGCGCGAGCTTTCGCTTTGCCCATTTTTGGTCATTAACTTTTGAACTGCTCTCACCTGCTGCGGCTGTGAGTCACAACCGAGCTCGAGCCCGAGCCCAAACACAAACCCTAACCCGAAACCGAGAACCCAGCTCAACCATGGCTTTTCGGTGGTAGTTGTCGCTGGATATCGCTTTAATAATCACCGGCGACAAGATTCAGCTGGCGTAAACAGCTTTAATCTAGGCACATTACTTCAACTTGTTGAGGGTTCGAGTTGACTTAGCTTCTTCCTCCTCTTCTTCTTTCACTTAGGCCGTATTCAGCTTAGCTTCAATCGGGTCAGTTCGCTTCGAGTGCAATGCACGCGACAAACGGGGCTCAAGATAAAATGTAACAGCCTTTTTACACATTGCCCAACTTCTCTTAATCTATATGACCAACAAGGGAATTCTAAGGGCAGTGCATAGTGAGTGAGGATAGTGAGGATAGTGAATTTGTGTGCTGCTATCAGGCACTGGATTGAAGGCATGAGAGACATACGTGAAATTAAAGTGGATAGCGGATAAGGGATAATGAAATAATGAATAATGAATCGAAAATGCTTAGCAGTAATGCAAAGCACTTGTGCTCAGAATCCAGCAGATTGACAATCATTATTCCATTAGGCAGTCGGCGAATCATTTAATAATCATTCATTAATCAATCAATTCATATTTGGTGAGCTAGCGAGTCAAGCAGCCGGCAATCAGTATTCAATCACTCGGTCTGTCAACACTCAGTCAATAAGTCTGTGTGACAGCCAGGCTATTCAATGAACCAGCCAGTCAATCAGACAGTCAATGAAACATTCAGCTTGTCATCAGTCATTCTGTAAGTCAATCAATCAATTAGTTACATCAGAATGAATACTACTTAGCCAGTCAGCCAGTCAATCAATCAGTGAAAATTCATCAAGTCAGTCAATCAATCAGTCAAAATTCATTAAGTCAGTCAATCAATCAATCAGTGAGTCAATCAAGCAGTTGGGCTTGCCATCAGTTATTTACTGATTGACTGAGTGATTACATTTAATAATTATTGAATAACTCAGTCAATCAACCCATCACTATTCAATCAATCAGTCAATGAATCCGTTATTCAATCAGTTTGTCTGTTCTCAGTCAGTCAATTAATCGGTGTGCCAGTCAATTAGGATACTCATTCAGACAACATTCAAAAAGTCCGTCAATCACTCACTCTGTATTCAATGATTCACTCAGTCAATCGATCCGTCTAACATTAGCAAGTCAATTACTCAGTCAATCAGTTTCCAGTCAAACAGTCAATCAGCAAGTTGCTCAATTGGTCATTGGCTTACTCACTCAGACAGTCAGTCAACCATGTAGTTAGTCATTATTCAGTCATCGCACCATATTCTTATCGTACTCCAAATGCGCCTCTGTCTACATTAAGCCCAACCCTGCTTATTTGAATAGCTGGCTCTTGAACTATCATTCAGACAGATATATGATATTCGATAGTTCTCTCTCTTTATTCATATCTAATATTCTCTTTTCCTCTCTCATCCATTGACAGACTGAAACCATAAAGCGTGATCTCGAAACGAAAATGGCATCGCACAAGGTGCAGGACATGGTGGAGAAGCCCCAATACAATCAGACCGCCGTTATGCTGCTCATTGAGACGTCGCGTCTGGTGCGGGAGAATACCTCGCGCGCGGTCACCTCGCTGGACAACATGGTGCTCTACTTCATGAAGACCAAAGGCAGCGAGAACGAGACCTCACTGATGGGCATTCTCCATGTATGTGCCAGACAGCTGCTTGAGCGAGAGCTCTCATTAATCGATCTCCCTCTCCGTCTCTCTCATCCCCCCGTTTAGCTGGGCGATCTTTATGAATCGATACGCTGGCCAGCCACATTGGCCTTCCTCACCCTGCTGCTGTTCCTGTGCACTGTCCTGGTCATCGGGGTCGCCCGTCGCTCGCGCTGTACGCTGATCTTCTTCAGTGTCTCGGGCCTCTTCTGCATCATCATCTGCTGGCTGCTGGCCGGCATCTATCTGGCCTCCAGCGTGGCAGCCGGCGACTTTTGCATGCGCCCCCATGAGTACATGTGCCGCCAGGTGGGCATGGTAAGCTGCATCCGCATGAATTCCCCCATTAAGTTTCTTATCTAATGTGTGTTTGTCTTTCGATTTTGAAATTGCAGCGCAGTCCGTATGTTTATTTCCTTAACTGTGGCACATTGCGCAATCGCTTCATATTGCGCCTCAACGAGTCCCGCGATTTGGTGGAACGTGCTCGCGAGAGCGTTGAAATGATGCAACGGTAAATAGAACAACTGCATCAGATTCATTAGAGTACCCAGACTGGCTATTTAGGACTTGGAAACAATCCAATCCACATTGTATATTATGTGCTATATACTGAAGGAAGAGATACTTAAGCAGAACCAAGAGTCTTAGTGTTTTAGTATGCGCATGTTGATTAGATAAGCTTGTTAGTGCCTAGAATTGTCAAGCTTACATAGAAAAGCGAAAATAATAGATTGTATATAATAGGCAGCTATATAAGGCAGTGGATGTCGTGTATAGAGAAATTTGCTAATCTAAGGTTTACTTTGAAACAAAAAAAACTAATGGATGCATATATAGCTCTACTAGGCTCAGTTTTACAGCAAAACAAAAGGTCGAATGGGTGCATATACTGGCATATATAACTCTACTATATATAGTAATCATAGTACAATAATATTCGACCATGCGATATGTTATCCATAGGCAGAGGTTTCTCGTCCTCAACAACATCTAGAGCTATACCAATAATGATTTTAGTATGTATATTTATATGATATATATATTTACATTTATATTCTTGTCACAGCATTGGCACGCATATATAGCTCTACTAAGATAAGTTTTACTGTATAATAAAAAGTCCTCTACTATAGATAGCGATGAGTCGCTGAGTTATCCCAAGGCAGACTTGTCCTCAACAGCATCTCGAGCTATACTAATCATGATTTGAGTATATACAGATATTAGATTATATATTTACGTCTATATTCTTGTCACAGCATGAGCCAGGACACGTATCCGCGCATTGACATTCAACGCACGCTAAACGCGATGGACAACGACCTGGAGGAGACGAAACGCAATCTGACCAATCTGTCCGCCACACTGGACAGGCGGGCCATCGATCGACACTATGCGGAGGCACTGCACGGCCTGTGCGGCGGCGGCTTGCTCGGCCTGAGCCTGATGATGGTCGCCGGCCTGCTGACCGCCTTTCTGCTAACCATACTCGTCTACGCGGACTCGCACGCCTGGATCTACCTGAGCAAGAGGTAAGCTATCGTTGATTTGACAATTTGACAGCTGAAACTCACTGCATTCGCTTGCTTGCAGGCCCACCATGGATGGCGACAAGTCGGAGACGGCGCCGCTGTTCTCGGCGTCGAATGCGCCGAGTGCCAGCATTTCGCCAACGGCGCCGATGAGCACCGGCACCATAAATCGCACACTGCTGCACCATCAGCAGGCGCACGGTGTGCCGATGGGCGGCAGCGTGGCCGGCGGTGCTGGCGCTGGGGGACACACGGGCACGCTGCCCAGCGGCGGCAGCTTGGCTGGCGGCAATGGCGTCGGACCGTACAGGAATGGCACGGCGGGACTGCGACAAGGGTTGGCATCATCACCATCATCACAATCAAGCAACAACAATACATCATCTGCAACAACTTATAACCACCACCAACAACAACAACAACAACAACAACACCACCACCACCACCACCACAACAACAACCACCACTACAACCACAACAACACACAGCATAGAACTAACTCAACGGCAGCGGCGGTGGCGGCGGCCACATCCCTTTCGAGCCGCTCCAATGGGGGGCGCCGTTCGCCGTCGCCGCCGCCCGGCTATGATTTGGTGCATGGCACAAGGCATGAAGTTTAATTTAATTTAATTTTGTACCCCTTTTAATTTGTTCATCTTTACTTTGATTTGATTTGATTTGATTTAGTCTTAGTCTTAGTCTCGGTAGACACGACTCCCGCTAGAGGCAGTCGCACAAGCTCTTTATTTTTAATGTACTTACATTTCATTTGATTTCATTTTTTTCATTTACATTTATTATTTTCATTTCCTTGAATTGGGTTTATTCTGTTGATTTCGCTATTTTTCTGTTCATTATGTTTTTATTTGTTGTGTGCCCAATGCCCAGCACTAGGCCACGCCCACTAGCTGCATGACCAATACAATCGCACACAGAATACAAATGTAGTTCAGAGTAGTAGATCATAATCAATACATATCGTATATATCGCATATCGTATACATCGTACATGGACAGCAACACGACAACGCCTAACGCACCCACACGACACTTGAAGCAGCATTAGGGGTAGTCTCTATATAAACTCTTTTCAGCTTGATCATAAGAAATACCTTGAGTACAGTAGCAACTGCCTAACGGCAACTCCTGCTGCAGTTGAGTCTTACAGAAAGTGATGAAAAGCTGAAAAATATATCAAATATATTTTTGTAGTAAAAGTAGAGAAATAGACTCTCTTGAGGTTTACTTTGTGAGCCTGAATTGCCCACTCTCAAAAAACCCTTTCTGCCTTGATATCTATAAAATACAACTAATATGCATTCATGCATAACTTTAATTTCATAAACATTTCCAAATATATGCAACAATCTGTCATATATAAGAAAAAGATTTCTAGATCTTGAGCCATATTTGCCTTAGCCTTAGGATTTTTCGTAGACAGCAGAGGAAATGCCTTTGCTATAAATGAGCTAAGCTAGCGATAGTGTTAGGGTTTCCGACTTCGTCAGCCTTATGCAGCTACTCCAATCAGATGCCAATAGAAATATAAGAACAATACGGAAACTTCTCTTAGATAAGCCATAAGCACTTGTGTCTTCGATAGATTTAAGCAATAGGTTTCTAAGCCAATAAAGAAACGAATGAAACCCTATATTTACCCCTATATATATATATATATGTTATATAAATCTAGAGAGCTCAGCTGATTAAGGATTGGCGCAGTAGAACTGAGCAGAGCAGAGCTATAAAATAGAACTCCAAGGTAACCATAGGCTTAGCGGAACGTAGAAGGTAGAAGGTGTAAGGGTATCATATTATCATATCATATCATGTATATAATTGCATCTCTCATTCTAACGATTAACCAACTCTAATGCTCCCGATATTCGCTCTTCATTTGCCAGAGTACCCCTAATGCTGCCGCTTGTTTAACTGTCTCCTGTCTCCTCGCACATTCGCAGCTGTTGCATTTGCCTTGCATTTGCGTTGACTTTCCCATTTAACTAATGATTTGTACCGTTATCTGTGCTTGCAGATCGGGCCACCACACGCTGGGCCGGCTGCCGTCGCACCACCAACAGTCGGCGTCGTATCTGCCCGGCCCCAACAACGGCAAATATGCGACGCTCAGCAAGCAGTGTAAGACGCTCGAATCGAACGACTTCTACTGAGATTCGCTTGCCTGCAGCACGTATGCAGGCAATAGCAACAACACGCAGCACAGCAGCAACATCAGCCAGCAGCAACAGCAACAGCAACAGCAGCTGCAGCAGCAGCAGCAGCAGCACCATCACAGCAGCAGCAACACATTGAAGAACATATTCGCATCGGCCACGCTGCCCCGCTCCACGGGCAGCTCCATACGCTCCGTGCTGTCCGCGCAGACGGCCAACGCCATCTGCAAGTCAACTGGCAATGGCCTGGACGCTGACGTCCTGGTCGACGATCGCGATCCGCGCGACGTCACCAACAACAGCTTCAATCGCTTCGATCCCAAGTACATCAGCATCGGGCCGAAGGCGGTGCGCGGCAACAACAATCTCAACATTGTGGCCGCCGCCACGGCCAACAAGTGCGCCACGCTGCGCCACGTGGGCCGCTACGGCGGCTCGCTCAAGGGCGCCTCCCCGTCGCCCAATCTGCGCAGCGCCAAGACGCCGTCGATAGCCACAGTGTCCAAGGATTACTGCCAGCAGGCGGACTGCATGACGCAGGTCTATGGGGGCGGCTCCACGGACATGTTGGTGCCGAACGCAACTCAGCAGCAGCAGCAGCAGCAGCAACAACAGCAGCAACAGCAACAACAGCAGCAGCAGCAACAACAGCAGCAGCTGCAGCAGCAGCAACCGCCGCCACCTTCGCAGCAACAGCAGCAGCTGCAGATGCAGATGGTGGTGCAGCAGGTGGTGCCACCACCGCCGCCGCCCCAGCAGCAGCAATTGCAGCCACAGCCCGCGCCACCGCCGCCACCCAAGCCAAAGATAGTCAACACCTTTACGGAAATACCCGGCACCACGGGCGTGGGCAGCTCCTATGCCAAGGAGCAGCAGCAGTTGCTGGCGCTGCAGCAGCAACAACAGCAGCAGTTGCTAGCGCTGCAACAGCTGCAACAGCAACAGCAGCAGCAGCAGCAACAACAACAGCAGCAGCAGCAGCAACAGCAGCAGCAGCAGCAACATCATCATCCACCGACAACTCACATCCTGCCGCCCTCGGCCGTCTACAGCATTGAGAGCAGCAGCGTCTATCCGGCAGCAGCGGCCGCTGTGCCGCCGCAGGCAGCGCCGACAGCGGCGCCGCGCGTGCAGCGCTCCCTGAACCCGGCTTCGATAGTCAATCAGCCGCTGCCGGAGATACCGGTGCAGTCGCCCACCGGCAACGGCGTCCTGCCCGCCTCGCAGTCGAAGATCTCCTCACAGCCGCTGTGCGCCGCCACGCTGGGCCAGTACCGCTCGCTGCAGCGGCCCCAAGGGGCGGCGCAGCAGAAGCTGCAGCTCGCCTCGCAGCAGCCACAGCAGCAGCAGCAGCCGCCCTCGCTGCCGCCCAAGAATCGGCACAAGAATTCGCGGGATTCGAGCAATGCGAATCATATGCAGACGCTGCCTCCGAAGTCGGCGAGCTTGCGGCAGCAGCAGGCTGCCAGCTTTGGCTATGAGCGCGATCGAGACAGGGAGCGCGAGAGGGAGAGGGAACGTGAGCGCGAGAGAGAAAGAGAAAGGGATAGAGAGCGAGAGAGGGAGCGGGACAGGGAGCGAGAGAGAGAGAGGGAGCGAGAGCGACCGCGTCGCGCCGAGACGCTGGACAATGCGCGCAGCTACGCCGAGCAACAGCTGCAGCAGCAGCAGCAGCAGTACGGAGGCCAGCTGATGCTGAGCAGCATGAAGAAGCAGCACTCCTACGACAGCAGTACCTATCACCATCAGCAGCAGCAGCAGCAGCAGCAGCAGGCGGCCTACTACCAGCAACAGCGGCAGCACAACAACAACTACCATGGCACCGTCTCGAGCAGTGCCGGCAGCAAGCAGCAGCAGCAGCAGCAGCAGCATCATCATCAGCAACAGTTGCTGGCCGAGCAGCAGCAGCAGGCGCTCTTCTATCGCTCCCTGAAGCGCAGCTCGGGCGGTGGCTCTGGCGGCGGCGGCGGCGGTGCTGCTGTGACAGCTGTGGGTCATGCCGCCAACAGCGATTTGTATTCTGTGACGGAATTGTAGGAGTGCGCCTGCTGCGGCGGCGGTGTTGATGTTGTGCGGCGTGCCACGAGCTGTTCGACTGGCACGGCCACAGCAGCAACATCGCTGCACGCAGCGGCGGCAGCAGCCTCAGCCAGCACACAGACACAAGCCCAAGCTCAATCGCAGCCGCCCATTCCGCTGCCACCGAAGAAGCATCGAGCACAGCAGCAGCAGCAGCAGCAGCAACAACAGCAGCAACAGCAGCATTCTCACCAGCATCAACATCAGCACCAGCAATGCAATGCGAATCTGTGCGATGAGCATGAATATGACGAGTACTGCCCGCAGCAATACGAGTCGCAGCAGCAGCAGCAGCAGCAGAGCTCGCGCCATGGCAAGCAGCAGCGCGCGGCCACGTTCGATACGGCAGATGCGCGCGACTATGAACTGAAGCGGCTGGGCAATCGACGCTCGCAGCAGCAGGCGGCCAGCACCAAGCGCAACGGAGCAGCAATCAGTGAGCAACAGCAGCAGCAGCAGCAGCAGCAGCAACATCATCATCATCGCACGCACGATCGAGAGCGTTCGCGCAGCGATCATCGCATTGCCAGCTATGCGTGCGAGGATGCAGCAGCGGCAGCTGCGGCACTATGCAGCGCTGGCTCCATGACGCTGCTGGCGGCCAACGGCAGCGCACAGCACCAGCAGCAGTCGCACAGTCGCAGCCACCAGCAGCAGCAGCAGCAGCAGCAGCAACAACAACACCAACAGCAGCAGCAGCGACGAGAGAAAACGTTCAAAGTATGATTTTTAGAGACGTCATAAAAATTGCCCAGCCCGCGACCAGCTGACTTCGACGGCGATGTTGCTGTTGCTGCTGCTGTTGTTGTCACGGCAACAACGCGCAGGCGACGCACGCGCTAAGCCAACAGCAGCAGCAGCCGCGTCAACACTGAAGCCAGCCGACGTTGCGGATTTTTCTAATAAATAAATGAATGCCAGCCAATTGCAGCGAACTGTTTAAGCAGAGCACAAAACTCGATTGCAGCGATTTGGTGCAGTACACGCCCCCCCAGCCGCCCCCCAGCCGCCCCCCTCGCCCTTAACAGCCACACAGGATGAATCCTGCTTTAAGTTCTTGAAGCCAATTGGCAGAAAATCATGCGACAAATTTGTTCAATTAATGTGAGAAGTGGAAGGCAAGTTGCACTTGCCACATGACAAGCCGTGCCTCATGCAAATGCACACATACACACGCACACACATACACACGCACACACATACACATACACACACACAGTGGTACAAGCCGCCCTCTTCGGTTACTCAATCATATGTTACAGTTGCAAGTCAGCAGCCGCAATTTGTTGTGCTGCCACGCCCCCCTTTTTGCTTCGTGTTGTTGCCTATTGTTATATATATATAATTATGATTTTTATTTTCAATTTTTTTTTTTTTTAAATCTAAATATATGACTATTATTTAAGTTAACTGTAATTAAGCATAAGTTCAACTAAGCTAATCAAACAATTTATTTATTTATGCAAGAGATAAAAAAGAAGAAGCAGAAATTGTGCCCAGCTTCCCAGCCAACTGCACCAACTCAAGATCCCACGAAATTTCTATAATTTGCAAAATGTTTAGTTTTTGGATCATTTGAATTTGTTTATTATTTAAAAAATCCGTTGCGCAGGAGCAAACAACAGCAGCGAAAAGTTCGTAATTTTTGTGACGTCAGAAAACTAAAGAGAAGTGAAAGGAGAACATGAAAACAAATACTGTAATTAATGAAATTCCATTTTAAATAATAAACAACAAAATACAGCAAGCAATAAATATATATAAACAAAAACAAAAAATAGGAGAAGAAGAAGGAAACAAATAACACTTAACATAAATAAATAAAGTATAGAAAATACACAGAAGACAAACACCAGAAGCCATACGAAAACAAAATTGTTTAACTATTTTACAATCTAACAGATATACAAACACATCTATATATATATATATATATATATATATATATATATATATATATAAACAAACATACATATACATAATGAAATATACGTATATTGAATAATTAATAATAATTGCGAATATATTATTAACGAATGTTCAGGTCAATAACTGCATTTAAAAACCAATTTGTTAGACGTTAAAGATAAATCTCTCCCCCTTTTTATATGCGAAACAAAAACAAAACAAAAAGAATATATATATATATATACAAATACATATACATACATACCATAAAACACATACTACAAAAGACATTTGCATGGACAAATGAGAAAACCGAAATTTCATGTACATTACATATTACGTAAAAGGGAAAATAAAAACAAAGAAATTAAAAGAATAACGAAAAATATATAAAAAAAAATGCGAAAATTTCTTAGTTTAAAATTGATATGAAATGTGAAGAACAACACTTAAATTACAATTTTAAAAACATATATATATATATATATACATAAATACTTATACTATAAAAATTTACAGCAAATGTTAACAAGAAAATTTTAACTCTCTGCTGTGCAGATGCAAATAAATTACAAAAATCAAATAAAGTCAAATCAAATATTGCAACAAAACAAAAGTCAGAACAAACATTTACAAGGCAAATATTTTGCATTCAACATTAATTAAAGTGTTCACTGTATTAATAGATAAGTCGTATCACACACACACACACACACAAACACACACTAACACACACACCTTGTATATACTTGTAAGATCCTATTCTCTACAGCTTTCGCTCCCCCTCTCTCTCTCTCTCTCTCCCTTTCGCTGTCTTTCTCACTCTTTTGCTCTTCCTTGCACCATTGCGAAAAAGAAAACAAGCGAGAACGTTGCTGTCGTCGGGCGTTACCGACTGCAGAATACTCATTCATGGCCCATTTTTCGATTTGCCACGCCCGCAAATGGCATATATATACTTTTTGCAGTAATTTACTCATTCAGTGTGGACTTTCTAGCTCCAAAACTGTGTACCCGATTTGCCACGCCCCCAATGGGCGTCGATATATACACCATATCTTATTGACTTTTGACTGTTAATTAGGAAATACATTCAACTAACATGATTTCTGAGATACATGTATTTTCCGCTTTGACACGCCCCTAGTGGGCGAATCGCGAAAGATCTTGAAACTTTAGAATATTTCGAGAATGTTACAGTTAGACAGATGGACAGCAAAACGAAAATTGCAGGAAGCCAATATACTCGATTTGCTTTCTTGAATGAGTATAAGAACATTCCATGGAGATACTTTGAATATAAACCCCTCTCTATCCATCAAACATCTTTCCAGCCGCTTTCCACTTCCGCCTCGCCCACTTTCTCTCAGTACACAACAAAACAAAAATATTGTTGCACACAAAAAAGAACTTCGCTCAAAACAAAGTAAGAAAAAAAAAATAAAAATTACAAAAAATACATATGTATTAAAAAGAAAAAAAAAAAAAACAAAACAAAAAAAAACAAGTTAACAAAACACCGAAAATTAGTTCATTTAGCATTTCGACACACAATTATATATAGATATATAAATAAATATATATATATAGATATATATAAATGTATATGGGCAGCCACTGTTATTGGCTGTTTACACTTGTATATAAATAACGTACGTTTACCGTTAACTGTATAAGTAGCCAACTGCAGCGGCAGACGCATACAAAGGTGTGTGAATGTGTGTGTGAGTCTGCCTTGTAGTTGGTGTTTTTTTTTTTTTTTTTTTTTTGTTTCGTTAGGGTGGCATAAGCGTAAAAGATAAATGAATGAAAAATGTTTCAGTATGTAGCGTAGTGTAGTGTCGTCTACCCTTTAAGGCCAAAATAGTTTTTAACACACACACACACACAAATATATACGAAATTCTATATAGAAAATAACTAACAAAAATTTAAAATACCACTAAAATACCAAATAAAGAAATTGATTAAAATGCGCAGTTAGGCAGATATTTACGTAAATAATACAATACTTATAGCAACTAATAAAAACATGATTATTATTATAATTATTAATGAGCAACTGCAATTAAACGGAAGAAGAGAACATAAAAAGAAAAATTAAAAAAAGTATATATATATATAAACTGCAAAAGTGTTTAAAAACGTTTTAGCGCACTTTTTCTTACTTAACAGATTTAATCGAGACAAAAAATAAAAATAAAAAATATATAACAAAAATGAAATTACGATTAATCCGACTTAAAGTAAGCGAGAAGCAAGACGAATTTTAGAGTGCGCCGTTTTTATACTAAATTAAGAAGTGTTTTAATCAATGTTTTCTTATGTTTATATATATATAAATTAAGCTTTTTTGCTGTAGTTGTTAGATGTTAGTGTGCGGTGTTGCACAAAATGAGTAGACTTCAATAATCCCGTGGCGACGACCGACGTTCTTTATTATCAAAAATCAACTAAAGTACAGTGACATAAATTCTTATATCCAAAGCTAGCCCTAAACCCTGATTATGCTGACATTGCATATTTACGCGAGGCATCGCATTACTTCGGGCAACAACATTGTTGCGCGTTGGAGCCACTGCTGCTGTTGTGCAATATCCGCTGGGAACGGCTACATTCATGCTGACGGCGCGTGATCAATCTGAACATTTATGTTTTGCTGGTCGATTGTGTTAACTCCTCCCCCACTTAGATGAATGACGTCCTCGGCTTTCTTGAAACTGTTAATTAATGTTTGAAGATCACGTTGACGTTTGTTCCTCTGATGTCTTTGATAGAGTTTCATCGAAGCGTAGCAGGAGAGTAAAAGGATGGCCACGGTTAGCCCAGATACTATTGGCCTTCTTACTAGCCCTTCCTCTAGTTGAGCAATATCCCGCAGATTTTTTATGCTTATCTTCTGCAGGTATGGCAGGCTTGGTATCTCTTGGTGGTCTGTTATATTTAAGAGCGCAGATACCGCTGGTCCCGGGGATTTCCTCACGTAGTTTTTTTGGTTTTGGTATACGGTGTTGTTTACCTTTATCTTGTCGTCAAAGGTAAGGAGGAACGTCCCTTTTACCATCTGCTCGTTGACTGTAGCTGCTCCGTCGTTGATGATGATTACTCCATCGTCGACTATGGTTAGAGGTTCGAGGTGGCTGGGCCGAGTTGAACAATGTGCGGTGTCACCTGAGTGTAGCTGTTGAGCGCATGTTGTGTAGGGTGACTTCTTGCAGAACGTTATTGTGAGGGCTGTACTACAATTTCCTATTGATATTACATGATTTCCACAGTCAGCTAAATTGTAGTCTTCGGCGAAATTTATTATGATGCCGTTGTGTTGGACAGGGTATACGGTTAATTTTTTACATACTATGCTAGGCTTAGGATATCTTATAATGAAATGTAGAAAATTTTCGCTTAACAAAACTTTAATTTGAGATACTTCCATTAAGTCAGTAATAGTGATATTTATAGAGTGTTCATTAACAATGTTTTTTAAATCAGTGGAATCCAAAATGGAGGGGTTTACAATTCCAACCTTTGCAAGTGTTACTGATAGTATTAAGGTTTTTAACTCTGAGATAATTATTCTATTTCTTGTTAGCAGCGTTTCATATAAATGCTCTGTGTCTACTTGTTTTACTTTTGTGTTTTTTACTAGGAGGTTTACGGTGTCAGTTAGCTTATTAATTTGTTCCTGCATTTTTGTGTTTATGGTTATCTGCCTATTTTCTGACTCTACAAGTTCATTCTGTGTAAATTTTAGTTTCTCGAAATCATCATGGTCTGGCGTGCCAGCTACGACCTTTAGAACGGTGCCTAGCATATTGATACTCCTAGCATGTCTATGGTGGACATTTACTGTAGCTATTAATGTTTCTATATGTTGTATGTCTGCGTCTAATAACATTCTCATATGTGATCGGGGGAAATGGTTTGCTAATTCTTTCGTATTTTTTACTATTTCTGAGTATAGGGTAAGGTTGGTTGAGTGCTTCAAGTATTGGAAATCCGTCCAAATGGTTACGTATCCGTCCAAGATCGGTATGTAGTCCATGTTAGTATAGTCAGTCAATTTCGCTGTTATCGTTGTAGCAAAAAGAAGTATAGTCCAAATCCTAAAAGATAAAAAAGGGAATTTAATGTTTTGCCTATCTTAGATTGTCCTTGTGGACCACCCTCCCTTTTATTAAGACTGTTGTCCCCAAGTCTGCGTCAATTTTGCCTTCGTTGTATAGTGGTGTCAGTTTGTTCCCTAAGCGTCTGTTTGTTTTTTCCAAAACTGTGTCGCCTATTTGGAATTGTCTATTGTGTCTTGTTTCGTTTACTCTATTTGTTAGGAGTTGTTGTGCCTTTTGAATTTTATTTCCTATCTCTATTTCGAGTTCTGGGGAGGATGAGTGGATTATATCGATTGGTCGTTTGTCCGTTACTGAGTGAATTGTATTGTTATATTCGATAGTTGCTTGAAGTATCGTTTCAACAGTGTCAGTAATTTTCCTTTGAGCTGTTAGGCATCTTGCAATGTCACCGAGGGTGCTATGGAATCTCTCGACTTGTCCGTTTGATGTACTATGGAGTGGTGGGGCATTTACGATTTGAATGTTATATTGATTGTTTAGCAGAGATTTTATTGTTTCGGACTTTATGGAGGGCTCGTTATCGCAATAGATCGTCTTGGTATGCCGGTAAAAATTTACAAGTTGTAAAATTGCTGATTGTATGTCAATTATTGTCCTTGAAGCGATGGGTTGAACAATTGCAAATTTTGAAAATTTATCTATGCACGTAAGGAAGTATTTTTTATTGGTTGAGTATATGTCTATGTGTAGTATTTCGCCCACATAGGAAGGTATGGGTGTTTCTCCAAGTATTTGTTTTTGTG